GTGTCACTGAAGCAAGGAATATTTGAATCTCATGAATGGAGAATATATGGTAGCTAGTATCTAATACAGGGTAAGGTTGTGCATCTTAAGGGGACTCGTTTTGTGGTCTAGAGCATGAGGGAAAATGAGCACATGTATGGTATTCTTGCTATACTATGACAATGTATATAAGTGGAATAATGAACAGGAACTAGGTGAATTCCTATGGGAAAACAGTTTACTAATGGTCACCCACCATTTTCCTGCTGCAAAGCCAGCTATAATGCCCCTAACATACTATCCAGCAGAGCTAATGGTCCAGGTGGCTGCATAATTGGAGTTTTTCTTATATTTTGGAGCAGCATTCTTGGAGATGAAGTCATTGGGATTTGGCCAAGAAATGCTGATAAAGCAGATGTCAACTGTGCGTGTGTGACCCATGCTGGATTAAATATAGTGACAGGAGATGATTTCGGGCTCGTGAAACTTTTTGACTTTCCATGCACAGAAAAATTTGTAAGTGAACATTTTAGCTTTATCTTAACCTAAGATGCCAGGTTTTGTGTTTAACCAGTTTTACAGTTGACTCCAGGCAAAAAAGTGCCAGTAGATTAAAAGTCTGTTTTTTAAATAGCTGTGATACATTATTTATTGTCTGCAATATTCTCTTTTCTTTTCTAACAGGCCAAACACAAGCGTTATTTTGGTCATTCTGCTCACGTTACCAACATACGCTTTTCTCATGATGACAAGTATGTTATAAGTACAGGAGGCGATGATTGCAGGTAACTTCTTAGTTTACTAATAAAGAATTGTTTGTAAACAAACAAGTATGGTCCACTTCCATTGCAACAGTGTCTAGCATCTTAGAGCATGCTGCCACACTGCATCCAAAATCCATTTACCTAGCAACACAAACTTGGCTAAAACACCCTCAATACTTGGCAGTCGAGGCAGGAGTGTTGATGAGGCTGTTACATTTTCTGACCTGTGTTTTTTGAGTGTAACATGTTTTACAGAAAAAATACAAATGATAACCTGAAAGACCACAAACCAGGCTAAAAAGTTATGAGTAGCTCTGGATTTACCATGATGGAGTAGATTCCCAAAGGTATCACTGCCATTCATAAAACCCCTTCCCAGCAGTGGACCCCAACTGTGGAGTGCACCCCTTTCTGGGGTGTGCTGAAGAATATTCAGCGGCCCAGGAGGGAGGAAAAGAGAGTTGAACTCGGGTTTCTTACTTGCAGGGAAGTGCCCTACTCTTGACTATAGAACCACTCAACTCAGCTGCTGGACCAAAGCATATATATAGGGCCCCAGCAAAGTCAGGGTCCGTGCTGGTCAATTTCATAGCCAGGAGGTTTTTCAGATTGGTTGATTTTAGTTTCAGAAGTTTCTCGGTGTTCTAACCATGGGGGTCCTGACCCAAAATGGGATTGTGAGTGGGGCAGTTTGCAAAGTTTTTGGGGAGGAAGGGGGGTGACTTATGTGCTGCCTTTAGAGCAAGGCTAGAGGAGGTTGCCGGAGGTAGAAGTAGCCAAGTTGCATGGCCATGAGAAAATGTGTTTCAAAGTCCCTGAGGCTGTAGCCCCTACCCAGTCACCCCAATACCTGGTGGAAACCATGGGGAAAGAAGCCCCAGCTGGAGATATTGGGGAATGGAAACCTCAAGCCCTGGCTATCCCAACATCCAGCTGGAGCAGAATGGGATGGAAGCCCTGAACCTGGCAAGAACCACTGGGAGAAGCCCTGAGCTCTGGTCCAGGAGCCACATGGGAGATGTGGAGGAGCCTGAGCCCAGACTGCCCCAGCTGCAGCTGCCAGGAGCAGAAGTCCCTGCAGAAAGTGTTAGAGGAAGAAGCCCTGAGCCCCAAAACAGGGCAGGAGCTGTGGGGGTGGGCAGAAACCCAAAACGTGGGCTGTCTTGGCTGCAGCAAGCAAAGCAGAAGCCCCTGGCCCTGTCTGAAGCTGATAAGGGCAGGAAGCCCCAAGCTCTGTGCCCCGAGTCATGGCAAGAGCCCTGAGGAAGGGATGGGGGGAAGCTGGGAACCCAACTCTTCAGTTGCTCGAGTGCAGAAGTGTGGGTGTACCACCCTCATTTCCATACTGACTCTCATGGTGGGTCTGATCTCTTTTCCAAGAGTGGCCCTGCAAGAGAAGGATGACAGACTGGCCAGCATAGGGAGATCAAGTTTCACAGGGCTGGGCAGATTTCAGAGTCTGAGACACGATTTTGATGGTCATGAAATTGGTGGGTCCTACTTATATAATTATTCTTTTAATAATTTATCTACAGTGGGAAAGCTCCCACAGAAAAAATTAAGAGCAACCCATCCCAGCATATGAGCATAGCCCATAGCTCAGGGATTAAAGCATGCTTCTCAGAGGTGAGAGACTCAAGTTTGAAATCCTTCTCCAGATTAGCTGGAGAGGAACTGAGCACCATCTTCTGCATTAGTTTGGTGTCCTAGCCACTGGAGTAAAGTTTATAAAGGGGGAGGGGAGGCCTAATGCAGCAGCAGCAGCAGCAGGATTTCTTTCAAAACGAACTCTGCGGCTGTGTCTAGACTGGCCAGTTTTCCGGAAAATCAGCCGCTTTTTCGGAAAAACTTGCCAGCTGTCTACACTGGCCACTTGAATTTCCGCAAAAGCACTGACTTCCTACTGTAAGAATTCAGTGCTTCTTGCGGAAATACTATTCTGCTCCTGTTCAGGCAAAAGTCCCTTTTGCGCAAAGCTTTTGTGCAAAAGGGCCAGTGTAGACAGCTCAGATTTGTTTTCCGCAAAAAAGCCCCAATCGCGAAAATGGCGATCAGGGCTTTTTTGCGGAAAAGCGCGTCTAGATTGGCATGAACGCTTTTGCGGAAAAGTGTCTGGGCCAATCTAGACGCTCTGTTCCAAAAATGCTTTTAACGGAAAAGTTTTCCGTTAAAAGAATTTCTGGAAAATCATGCCAAGCTAGATGCAGCCTGCACGTTTGCAAAGAAGAGGGACCACAGCTGTGAATTCTGAGGTCTCCTTTCCATGCAGACTTGTCTATGCGTACACCAATAGCATGTAAATTCTAGTGCAGCCCCATACACAATGGTCCATATGGACCCTGCTGTCCTGCAGTATGAGTTCCATAACATGCACTGATTCAGTCCTGTTTTAAACAGCACAATGCAAGGGTGTAATTAGGAACTTATACTGCAGGACAGCAGGTTTCATTTGGCCAGTTGGTGTGTGAGCCACTGGTTAGCCATAGTCTTCACACCTGGCTTGTGTACACTGTTGCAGCACATAGACAAGCCCATGACTATCTTTGAGGGGCAGGGCTCAGTTTACACCCTTTGCATTAGCTTTAGTGTCTTCCCACTAACCTTGTTGGTGTTTTGGAGCCCATTTGGAGGTGGAAGACGGAGTCAAAGTCTCTGCTCTGAATCAGTCAAAGGGCAGATAAGAGGCTAAATAGTCTAGGGGAAGGCCGGCACTGGTCTGAGTGGGGTTCCATTCAGTCTATAATACATATAATTATTAATAATCCTCAAAAACTATGGAAGCAGAAATTCAAAAAACAAACTCCAAGTATGGCTAAATGGTAAATCAGGCAAGAGTTTAATTGAGCCATACAGAGATGCAGCAAACTAAGAAGTGCCAGTGAAACATAAGGGCTGTGTCTACATTGGCATGATTTTGCATAAAAGCACCCGCTTTTGCGCAAAAACATGCTGCCTGTCTACACTGGCGGAGAGTTCTTGCGCACGACCACTGATGTTCTTATGTGTGAAATCAGTGCTTCTTGTGCAAGAACTATGATGCTCCCGCTCAGGAAAAAGCCATCTTGTGCAACTGTTCTTGCGCAAGAGGCCAGTGTAGACAGGCAACATGAATTGCGTGCGCAAGAAAGCCCAATGGCTAAAATGGCTATCGGAGCTTTCTTGTATACGAGAGCATCTACACTGGCACGGATGTTTTTGCGCAAAAGCACATGCCAGTGTAGACGCTCTCTTGCGCAAATACTTTAACGCAAGAACTCTTGCGTTAAAAGTATTTGCGCAAAATCATGCCAATGTTGACGTAGCCAAGGTGTTAAGTAGAGTGCTTTAGTGGACAAGCAACTACCTATAGCCATGACACAGTGCTTAAGTAGCTGAGAAGCTAGACCTAACCCAGGCAAAAGGAGCAAGTAAAGGCCACTGCGAGGCAGCTGAAGTATTGCTTTGTATCAGTTGTCCCTGACTATGAATGTGAGATATCAACATTGTTTACATCAGGAAGATGAGGCAGTCTGAAATGTCAAAAATGAAAGTGCTGAGATGCATGATTTGCCTAATCTCCATTCTGTTATTCACTGCTGCTTGTTTAGCACAGCCTGTACCAATTACATTCAGTGGAAGCATTCCTAGGTAGGACTACTGATTTGACCCACACAGGACTGGCCAATGTTTCTATAGAAATTTGCATATTTCCATGACTCACACTAGAACAAGTTAGTTGGGTTTTGAAACTATTGAGTGGTTTACAATATGCTATGCAAATATTAACGGACTGTCAACATGCTACTAACTTTGCCCAAAGGCACAAATTGTTGGGGTAGAGCAAAGAACATGCTAGAAGTTTTCATTTGCTGTATGAATAATGGAGCCATGTTGGTCTCTGAAAAGTGAATGTGTAAAAATGTATTTTAGGGCTCCACAGTAATTTACTGACATCCATACTAAACCTGCTCAGTTTGGAAGTAAGAGGGTAGAGTTCCCCCCATCCCCCACGAGTTCTAAAACTGACAACAAAACCTGCAGTTTGTACCTTCTTATTCTAGCACTAATTGTTAAAGATAACTTTACCGCCACTTAACATTTTTTTAGTGTATTTGTGTGGAGGTGTCTTTGAAGAGGAATTTCCTTGCTTCTGGTGCTGCAACTAACATGGGACTACAGGAGTGAAGACACACACCAATCCACAATGCGTTGGCTGCTCTAATTTCATAACAAAAATGCTGCATGGATTTCACACTTTTGGAATCTGTGTGTGATAATATTAGGCATGTCTACACTAGGAAATTATTTTGAAATAACTAAATTTGAAATAACTCCTGAAATAACTATTTTGAAATAAGCTTATTCCCCAAGGAAATCAGGAGTAAAGATTTCAAAATAACCAGCCTGTTATGTCTAAACAACAGGTGTCGTAGAGTGGACACTCTGCTTATTATTTCAAAATAAGGGGGGTTATTTTGAAATAGCTCCCTAGTGTAAACCAGGGCATTAAGTGCTACTCTGATATTATATTTGAAAGACTGTGATGCCCTTGTGATAAAAGCTGACATTTTAAAGGCTGTTCTTAGGCCTCAGCAATGAACAGTTCAATCAAACTGCTTTTGCTACATATTTGTAATTATTCCAAGCAGTTACAACTGTAGCCCATAAAAAACACTTTTGGGCCTCACTAATACTAAAAAGTAATGCAGCTTTTAATTTGTGGATCTTTAAAATAATTTCTTTACAGCTTCCTTCAGGAATGTTCCCATTTTAACAACTGTTACAACTCTTGTTTGGAATTTTATGCATTGTGAGTAAAGCTTTGCATTTTTTTAAATGACCGCAGGGGGTTTCACATTCACTTTCAATAACCAAAAGAATCAAATAACACACTTTTAAAGTTCACTTTTTTTTTAAAAAAAGAACACATTTAATTTACAAAGTTTTCTATCCATGAAGTGCCTTTGAAAGAGTTTGCCAATAGGCCTCCCACCACTGTCAGCTTTCTGCATATGGTGCTATAACTTGCATCCTAGAGGGCTTAACACAAACACCTTTTCCAGATCTGACATGGTCACCCATTTTCTGCTCTTACTATTCTTAATACTGTCACAGCAGAATTCTAAAATGTTTCCTTCAGAGAGAACATATATACCATTATACAAGCAATTATCTGAACCTCCTCTTTGTCAATGACATGAGCAATCTATTACGGGGCAGAAAGTAGCTGGCTCAAGAAGACAGAAGGTCAAGGCCAGGATTTAAGCTTGGCCCTGAGGAATAACATGTATGCAGAGTACTTTTTGCAGGATAGGGGAAAGAAAATTTAGAACTCTTGATCTTTTCATGGTCTTTTCATGTTCTTCCCTCTTTTGGGGTCCGTGCTTTATATTTGACTACTAGTAAAGCTAGTAAAAGTGCTTTGGACTTTTCAAAGAAGCATCATTTCCATCTTTTCTCAGGAAGAGCTTCTTGGAGATGTGCCAATTGTACATAATGAATGACAGATCAACCAGTAAGAAAACATTGCACAACCTTAGGTTAATCTGGCAACCATTCATGCTGTTTAGAAACATGTATGTGAGATTAACAAAAAATAAATAAAACCAGTTGAAAATTTACTAATGGAATGTTTGTGTCATACAATGCCATTTTGTCAAAATTTAATCTTTCCACAGATATTGTCTATTTCAGTGAAATTTTGTTTTAAAAACCTCTGGACTTGCATACAGAGTGTAAATGCTCTATTTTGAGTTTCAATTTCAAAACAACTTTTCATTTAGGTGTGTGTATGTGTCTAATGTAAACAAATGAAATGTTTTAATTGACCAAACATTTTTCCCCAAACCATTTGATGGGACTAGGATGTGTGTGGGTGCATGTGGTAATAGGAAATCTCGTTTTTGTTCTAAAGCAAAACAAATTTCCTGAAAAATAAAAATTCTAGTTCTTGCAGATCTCTAATGAGAAGTTTGCTAATAATTATAAAAATGATAGAAAAGAGGGAAGGCAAGCATTATCAAAATGTAATAATTATATATTTAACACAAAAGTGCTTGAGGAAACTTAGTGATTTTTTTAAATAAAAAGGAACTATTGCCTTACAGTACTCTACAAAAAAATCAGTTTGTCAGACACAAAAAGGAGACCCTATGCAGTCTTAATTTTTGTTAAAAAAAAATTGTTTTAAGATAGCACTTTTTTGCCTATGTTGTAATGTTGGCCTTTCATGTTGATTGTATCCTGAATAAAAATAATTGTGTGATGGAATGAATTGCTAAATGGTGATTTGTGAAAAATATCTAAAAGCAATAGTGTCTGTCAGGAAAACATTTAAATAAAACAATTTGTATACATATGTGTGGTTTGGTTTATATATTATATGCTCAGAAGTAATGCTGCATTATACTGTATATGAAAATACTGATGCATGAATTCATTTTTCAATGGCCAAAGGATTATTTGAAAACCTGTGTGTCAAATTAATGTGGTTATACATTTTCACTGATCTTATTTTTACAATCAAATTAGAAGACTCAACAAGTTATCCTGAAAAATTGTTAGGACTCACTTTGTATCCCCCTCAATTTTCAAAATTGTGAAGTACATCATACAGATGCTCAACTAGGAAAAAATTCCTAACTGTCAGGGTGGTCAAATATTGGAATAAATTGCCAAGGGAGGTGGTGGAATCTCCCTCTCTGGAGATATTTAAGAACAGGTTAGATAGACATCTGTCAGGGATGGTGTAGATGGAGCTTGGTCCTGCCTTGAGGGCGGGGGGCTGGACTCGATGACCTCTTGAGGTCCCTTCCAGTCCTATTATTCTATGATTCTAACTGTCTCTAGTAGTCTCTTCAGGAAAAAAAAAAAAAACCACAAAAATTGTTTAAGCCTATAAGCTTTATTGATACGTGGGTGTTTTATTTTTACATTTCACAATGCATTCCACAGACTTAGTTCAATACAGCTTAAACCACAAGTTTATAAATTTTCATTTGTAGTTTCTTGGATAACAATGCTCCACGTTTTCAAACATTTGCAGCATTAGATATTTGCTCCACAGATTACATTTGTGCAACACCATGTATGCTCTAAGTTTTCTGTGTGTGCAAGTTCATTTGTTTTTGTTTTTAAATAGATGGTAGTGTTTTGAGAAATGTTTTATTTTTTTAAGCTTTTTTGCCCTCTATGGCTAGTTCTAAAATCAGTCCATTTTCTGAAATACCAAGCACTGTGGAGCAGCTGAAAGATCTGAGCTTTGTGAAACACTATATTTTATATATATGTCAATTGATAAAACAATAAAATCACAATACAGCTACATTCGTACCAAAAAGACAAGGTTTTTCAAACTTGCTTTAATGGTATATTCTTCTAATCCTTTAATTTTAGAAAATCTGTCTCAATCTACCCAGATCATACACAGTGCACAACATGGGAAATGTTATCCTCCGCTCTATCTGTGCTACCCTTTTCTTGAATGCAGCAAGACTACCTCTGATGAAGCACAATGTACAGCTTCTCAAATCTTTTGTATTAGCTGGTGCTGCACACAGGAAAAACAAAGATGATTAGTTTTAAATTCATACATAGCAGCTTACAATACTTAAGATGATGAAACACATGGCAGTCAAAACAGGTATTTTCCTCAAACACTGTGCTGCTAAAAATAAAGATCTGTGAAATTGCACTGCAATGTCAAGGTTTTGATATTCCCTGACCCTCCCCATGTATTTCAAATGAATATTTCCCCCTTGAAAGATAACTCCTATTGACAAGATGCTTCAGGCTTTTTATTCAGTTTTGCGTTTCAATCCAGGTATTTTAGCTTGGATCCTGAAAGAGTAAAAAAAATTAAAATATTATTTAAATGTGGAAAAAAGCACTATTAATAGCATCAATGTTGCCTTGAAAATGTCAATGTTTACAGATAGTTATCATAGATATATTAATCTGCAACAATAAGAAAACTGACAGAAAAGCTGTTAAATCCCTCTGCACTCAGCCTTGCTCTGCTGAAGATTTAAAGTCCTCTGCATATAAATCCACATATCTGAGTTTTAACTGCACAGCAAGGAACTACAGTAAAACTCCAATTGTCTGGCATCCAGTAGTCTGGCACTCCTGATAGTCCGGCACCAACTGGAACCCGGAAGTGCTCCGGCCAGCCGGACAATTGGAGCTGCTCTGCCCCCAGCTTCCCCAAGTCTGCCGCTGGTCAGTTTCAGCAGCAGCTGACTTGGGGAAGACGGAGGAAGAGCAGCAGGGGTGCTACCGGGTTGGTCCCGCAGTGCCGCCCTCTCCCACGCTGTGCAGTTCCCTGCTGACCTCCCCACCCCCTTCATAGCTCCCCTTCCGGTACTCTGGCATAGCTGATAATCTGGCACCCCCTGGGTCCTAAAGGTGCTGGATTATCGGAAGTTTACTGTAGTTGTTTCTAAAAATTTCCCACCACTTTTAAACAAGTTCTTCCTCTTGATGACTATATATGGTGCCCCTAATGCAAGCTAGTTTGAAATGGCCAACAAACTCACTTAGCCATAGCATCTCTGGCAGTCTTGTTCGCAAGTCCCAAATAATGATCAATTTGAGCCTGAAATTTAAGAGAAAAACAGAAAAGTTAGCTGTTTAGCTTTACTGCTGCTAAAGGCTGCTTTATTACTTGCAACTCATCATTGCTCCTAACTGAATTAGTTCATGCTTCAATAACAGCCCTGAAAAATTCTAAAACAAGGAAAAGGCCCATATTTATGCTTACTGTGGGGTTTCATGTACTTTTTGCAAGTCACAAGCATACAACTATTCTACTTCCATCTCTACCAGCCAGTAAACAAAACAGCCCAGTTTCTAGAGTAACCAGTGCTGTACGGTGGAAAAAGAGACTTTCCCAGAATAGCAGATGATGGGGCTCACTGAGAAAAGGAAGCTGAGTAAGTACTGTACATCATCCACTTACAGAAAAAGTCACTATTTTTTGCCCATCCCAGGCACAGAAAACACAAAGGGGCAAAATAGGAATCCCCTTGTTCCGAATTCAGGAAGGTCTGCTACTGTAGGTTCCTAGATTCTAACCAGCTCATGCAGTAAGTCATCATCACTATTTGCTTTTTGAATCCCATATGATGCACTAGAGATTAATGTGTAGGTATGCCTGTGCACAACACAATCGGTATATCCTAGCCTTTCATTCATATATGTAGCTCCTAGTAGTTCAAATCCCGCCCTTTCTTTCAGAGCTCTGCCGCACAGAACCAACCAAGGCCCTCCTGTGCACAAAAACCAATGGTGTGTTTTATTTTGAGAAATTACTTTGTATTGACAGCTCCAAAACAGGTAACAACTTATATGTTAAAGAGTCTCAACCATTCTTGGGCTCTTCCTGACAGCAGCACAGTATTGGGTCTCTGTACAGCTATACTGTTAAAAGCACAATACTCTGAACAAATTAGATATTGCAATTCCCTTCTGCTAATCACTACATACACCTGAACAGTAACTAGAGATCCCATGACACTTTAAAGGGGGTGAATGATTAACTGAAAGCTGACTGACACATGGAATTTAACAATTATGTGCTTTTATGGGTTGCTGGCTTTACTATGCCACTAGTATGTTACAAAAGTAGTTTATTCACCATTGAAACAGAACAGCCAATCTGAGTTGCAGAAGAGTGGGATGGAGTCCACCATAAAAATATGCATCCCTAGTCACAGTATCACCAGCAGGAGTTTTTCACCAGTGGTTAAGAAATTCCCATGGAAATTAACAGTAAAAATGCTAAATCTCTCAGATTCTGCCAACGAAGAGTCTCTCTTGAGAGCTCATTATCTTGGTACACTTGATCACTCCACTGCAGAGCCCCGTGAGCTCCATCTGTTATAAGAAATAATTCCCTTGTAATGAAAACATAGGGCCTATTCCCCTTTGACTGCTTTGAACAGTAGAACCTTTGAGCTCCCACCTTTCAAGGACTCACAGCTTAGATTGCAGGGCTTTTGATCATAGAATACTAGGACTGGAAGGGACCTCGAGAGGTCATCGAGTCCAGTCCCCTGCCCTCATGGCAGGACCAAGTACTGTCTAGACCATCCCTGATAGACATTTATCTAACCTGCTCTTAAATATCTCCACAGATGGAGATTCCACAACCTCCCCGGGCAATTTATTCCAGTGTTTAACCACCCTGACAGTTAGGAACTTTTTCCTAACATCCAACCTAAACCTCCCTTGCAGTTTAAGCTCATTGCTGCTTCTATCCTCAGAGGGCAAGATGAACAAGTTTTCTCCCTCCTCCTTGTGACACCCTTTTAGATACCTGAAAACTGTTATCATGTCCCCCTCAATCTTCTCTTTTCCATACTAAACAAACCCAATTCTTTCAGCCTTCCCTCATAGGTCATGTTCTCTAGACCTTTAATCATTCTTGTTGCTCTTCTCTGGACCCTCTCCAATTTCTCCACATCTTTCTTGAAATGCAGTGCCCAGAACTGAACACAATACTCCAACTGAGGCCTAACCATTGCAGAGTAGTTGATGAACTAACCCCAAACGTTTGGACATTACTCCAAGGTCAGAAGAATCTACCACAGACACACCTGATCTGTCAAAACTTGACAATCACTTGATCTGTGCCAAAGTGGACTTGGCATGAGGAATACTATCCATCATGGCCATTGGGATTAGTGTGAACCAGAAGACATACGCAGAGCCTTGTTTGTCCCCAGCATGTCTCACTGGAAGCCAGGATGTACTAGGATTCATTCAGTTCCTTTGCACCCTTTTCCCCCCCCCTCACAGAGACTGAAGGCTTCATAAGTGAAGTTGGGTATTTTAAAAGGATTATTTTTATACTTCCAGAAAGCAAGTCAACTGGTGATTAAAATCAGTGGGACTAGGAAGCTTGCAGCTAGAGCAAATTGTCTTCCTCTTCCAGGGCCATGTGACTTCCCTTCATCCTAAGGATGCTTCATTCTTTTCTGGTGCTGAATGATCTTTGTTGTGCAGGCAGGTTTGAGAGCAGATAGAAGCAACTCAAAAACTGCTGAGAGACTCATTGTATTTGGTCCCTGTTGCTTTCTTCACTGTGTTGCCCCTCTACACTGATCTTTATTACACAGGCTTTTTCCAGAAGAGAAGGAATACCTGTGTCAGAGTTCCTCTGGTCAACTACTCTATACCCTGATGGGATTCAATGTCAGCCTCATTCTGCTACAATCTCCTGTCCCTTCCTTGATTAACTGTTATCAACAGATTTACCAGAGGAGTATTAAACTGTGCCAACCTCTCCCTACATGCTTTAGCCAGTGCTAGAAGTCACATGGACTCAGGGGAAAAGGTCTGGAATGCCAGCTCCAAGATGGCGTCTCAAAAAGCTACATAAAGTACTTAGGATTTTACATAACTCAGATATTGCTTCTTTAGTATGGAACAAATCGGGATCAGAGGGAAAGAAGGTGAAATCCTACTAAGCAAACCTCTCTTATAATTACCGTTTGTTGGAACAGTAATAGCCTTCATAGATTTCCGAAAGAAGGGAAATCACAATGAACTATGTCTTTTAACGCAAACTTACTAATTGTAACATTATCAGGAAACCTGAACTGGTCACTTTCAGAAACAATATCAGGAGCTGATGTTAAAGATTTAGGAGATTATAATCAGATTTCTAGTTATACGTTCTTAAGTATTCCCAATTTAACAGGAATAATTTTTAATCAGACATTTAATGTGTATATTTTACATTAAGCACTCACCTGATGTCTCTCGTAAATAACAGGAACACTGAAGAGTGAAATCAGAGCTGGAAAGGAACAGAGTGGGTTTAAAGGAACAGAGTGGGTTTAAATACAACATAAAGATGCTATTCAGCCACAATGTAGGTACAGTTTTCACAGCCTGGCATTTTGATAAAAGCAAAAACAAACCCCCCTAAATCATAATGCAAAGATGGTTAGGCTATAGTAATTTAAAGAGCTTATAAGAAAAGTAGGGCCCTTCTCCAGTTTATCTGTAGCAATGAAGTATTAGTTACAATTCAGGTTTCTGTCATCCTGGTGGAACATGACAGTAAACCAATTCTGCACCATTATATAATTTATACAAGGCAACTGCACTTTGAAAATAAGTGCTACAAGGAAGCTTAGAAAGCAATGTACAAAACTGAATGACTTTTTAAATAATGTTTTGTCCTCAAAGTCATAAAGTTAAGGACAAACAATGAAATTTTTATAATTCTACAATCTAAAACAAAATTAAAATAACAAATCATGCAACAACTTACGTTTTGTTGTACTACAAATAGATATACACAGTATTTAAGAGGCTTTAATACTTTTCCAGGGTTATTTTGCAAAGTATTTGACACAATTTAAAGCCCTTACCTAGTATCAGTAATGTCAGACCATTAAACAAGGCACCAACATAGGTGAATATCCACATCAACACTGCAAACTGAGAGAACAAATTCAATTAGATCATAAATACAGTTTAATCAAGGCATGTTCATTAGAACATTAAGAGCGGTGCCTTAAACAAAATTATCCTTCTCTGAAGGCATATATAAAGTTCAACACAAAAACACTTTGTATGTCAAAGATAATTGTACATTAAGGACAGTATAGGTAAAGTGACAGGTATTAGGATATTCAGCCTTTCACTTCTAGGTCAGAAGTCTGAATTCAGCCCAGCGTAGTAGTGGCCAAAAGCTGCTATCATTTTATGACTCTTCAGCATTCCTTGCGTGTATACAGTGCTTTATGCACTTCCTTAGTGCTTTGTTGTGAAGTGCAAGCATGATTATTTTTTCCTTAACAGATGGAATAAGTGAGGCATGGCACATGGATAACTGTCTTATCCAAGATCACACAGCAAGTAAGTGGCAGAGATGAAACTGAACTGAGGTCTCCTAATTTAAACCCAACTCCCAAATCCACAAGGTCAGAGTCATCCCTTTTCACAGTGTGAGAGTGGGTGAAATTAAGCTTGTTACAAGAGATAGTATCACAAAAAGCACCATTTTAAGGTTACAAAAAAGATCTACATTACTACACTAGTAAAAGTTTGGAAACTAAGTACATATCCTGGTAGGAAAAAGAATCCTAAAACCCAGTATTGCTGTAATTTTTATGCTTGGTTCTGGACTTCTAACACTCCGGTCATCTGAAGAGCCCATGAAAGCTCATATCATCATCTACGTATTTTGTTAGTCTTTAAAGTGCTACCAGACTATTTGTTGGGTTTTTTTTTTAAGTTTTTCCTGGTACAGACTAACTTGGCTACCCCTCTGAAACTTCTGTAATTTCTGAGTTAGGTATATAATACCGTAAAAAGCATTCTGCAGAATTAATCTCTCTCTCACCTCACACAGTCGGACCCCAAGTCCTCTGCTTGTGTTCAGTCCATACTCAGCACTGCAGAATGCATCAGAAAGGCAGGACTTTGCTTGGACTTGGAGGAGTACTGCTGATAGAAAGGTTTGCCTCCCTGCTCAACACAGCCAAACTTATGTTCTGAATCTACATTTTTAAAAAACTTTTGCCAACTTCATTGCTTATGTTACTTAAGTGGACACCTCAGGTCCCCCACTGTGCTGGGTGCCATACAAAAAATTACTGAAGGACAGTGAAAGACATGGCAAAAAAATCATCATAAGAGATAAAGTAAAAAAAACCAACTATTGAAAGAACAAGCACTTTCTAAAATTAAGTAAGCATACACTAAAGACACTAGAACCCACCTTAGCCTCACACCCATATACAGGCAGTCCCCGGGTTACGTACAAGATAGGGACTGTAGGTTTGTTCTTAAGTTAAATCAGTATGTAAGTCAGAACTGGCGTCCAGATTCAGCCGCTGCTGAAACTGACCAGCGGCTGACTCCAGGAAGCCTGAGGCAGAGTGGCCCGGCCCCCGGCTTCCTGGAATCAGCCGCTGATCAGTTTCAACAGGCTGAATCTGGACGCCAGTTCCAACTTACATACAGATTCATCTTAAGAGCCTCAGGCGTCCCCAGGTCAGCGGCTGCTGAAACTGACCAGCGGCTGACTCCAGGAAGCCTGAGGCAGAGTGGCCCGGCCCCCGGCTTCCTGGAATCAGCCGCTGATCAGTTTCAACAGGCTGAATCTGGACGCCAGTTCCAACTTACATACAGATTCATCTTAAGAGCCTCAGGCGTCCCCAGGTCAGCGGCTGCTGAAACTGACCAGCGGCTGACTCCAGGAAGCCTGAGGCAGAGTGGCCCGGCCCCCGGCTTCCTGGAATCAGCCGCTGATCAGTTTCAACAGGCTGAATCTGGACGCCAGTTCCAACTTACATACAGATTCATCTTAAGAGCCTCAGGCGTCCCCAGGTCAGCGGCTGCTGAAACTGACCAGCGGCTGACTCCAGGAAGCCTGAGGCAGAGTGGCCCGGCCCCCGGCTTCCTGGAATCAGCCGCTGATCAGTTTCAACAGGCTGAATCTGGACGCCAGTTCCAACTTACATACAGATTCATCTTAAGAGCCTCAGGCGTCCCCAGGTCAGCGGCTGCTGAAACTGACCAGCGGCTGACTCCAGGAAGCCTGAGGCAGAGTGGCCCGGCCCCCGGCTTCCTGGAATCAGCCGCTGATCAGTTTCAACAGGCTGAATCTGGACGCCAGTTCTGACTTACATACTGATTTAACTTAAGAACAAACCTACAGTCCCTATCTTGTACGTAACCCGGGGACTGCCTGTATTCAGCTCCTTTATGCTGAGGTATTAGGTAGAATAAGGAAGTTTACTCGTCCCAACAAGTAACTCCCACTGCTTTTTTTTAAAAAAAGAGCATTTTTTTTTAAAGCCTTTTATTTCTATGGCTCAAAGCTAGAGTAAAGCAAAAGCAGCCCAAAGTTTATCACAGAGATACTGCTCTTCCTGAGTGGCATCATACAGGAAAGAATGAATGCATAAAGTCTACATTCACTGTCTACATGAGTTACAGTGATATTCTTGTCTGCTTCTGCAATTCTGATGAGTGAGTCTACTGCCTTTTAATTGTTTACCCACTTTACTACATTTATTAGTAACTGACTGCACAATACAAGTACTTTGTAATATAATTTAATGGCAAATATTTTTTAAAAAAACCCCATAGGTCAGTTTCTTCATGTTGAGCTACTTCAATTAAAATAATTGGCTGTGTTTATCAAAACATCACTCAAGTAACAACATGTTTTCATAGTATTCCTGTCCTAAAAAAATGTTCTTTATCTCACAAGTTTTGGATGAATCATAATACAGGCTGAACCTCTCTAGTTCAGCAACATCTGTGGTCCAGCATGATTTTAGTTAGCCGAATGTCCACTTATTATGGGTATGGCCAGTTTCCCAAAGACCCATAAAGTTTCTTTACAGCTCTGTACTGTTATCGAAGGTCTAACTTACTCTTAAATGTCTTCTACAAGTCCCATAAGCAGTGGAAGTGTTTGTAATGCTGCTAGACAATATTGATCTCCCATGCTTTGGAAAATTCTGGTTTGGCACTAGTCAGGCCTTCAGGGTGCCAGACTAGAGAGCTTCAACCTGTATAACGATATACCCGACAATACAATTCCTTTCTTGGCATCTTCTGGGAAATACTGTACAAAGCTATCCTTTGAAGTTATAACTGAAAGGGTTCCTTTGAACTTCGACATATACAGTACAAATATTTTAATGCCATTTTAAACCATCATGACTACACTGTTTACTCAATGTATCTAAGAAATGATTACATGTAAATTTCACTGTTAGCATAAGTACTGACGATAAACTGGATTACACTCTAGTTCTGTTTTCAAATTCAATAATATGGAATATTATGTAAAAGTGTAAATGTAATTTTCTACACCAAAATGTAATTTTGTTTATTTAAATAGATGAGTTAACAATTTTGTTCAGAGCCCTTATTAGGCACAAAACCGCAATATTTAAGGTTTTCCTAAAAATACTATTTCAGAGCCATGGAATTTTGTAAGCTGACTTTACAGTTTATTGATTTCACACAGAGACTGCATCCAGCTACCATACCATAAAAAGACAAAATGACTGAAGTAGGCTAAAGTTTTCCTCCAAGGCAAAAAAATTTGTCTCTTCAATTTTATTTAGAAGTCAAAAGAAAAGAAAATAATAACAGCAAATAAACAGCTTTCTGGATGCTCACAAACCAAACTATTTGAAGAGCAATTGTAATCTCTCAAAAAATATGTTATTTGGAAGTCTCAGAGAAGTAACTGTGTTAGTCTGTAATTTTAAAGTCCTAGAGACTAAAAATTTATTTGGGAGGAATTTCTCTTTTGCCTTCATTAATAATGGCTGAATGAAAGTTATATCTTCTAGAACAGTTTGGCTGTCCATTCTTTTCCCTTAGCAGATGACCTAATCGTTGGTAGCATGACAAGTAGTTGATGTGAGAATTTACACATTACACATCGCAAATGAGGGTTTACACCTTAGTTATTAAAACTATTTTGCCATACAAAAGCCCTTTGTGATTAAGATTTCCATGATGTATTTAATTCCTTAAACAATTCCAATTTTATTTCTTGTCAAAAGAGGCTTTAAATCTACCTCCTAAATCTAAGGCTCTGTCACTACCGCCAATTGAGCAACAAAACTTTTGTCCACAGGTGCTTAACCCCCCAAAAAGACAAAAGGCTTGAGGCAGCAAGTGGGGGAGGGGGGGGAGGGAGCAGGAGCCAGTGCTGCAGGGAGCTAGTTTAAAAGCCAGTTCCCCCCAGCACAGTCTCTGCTTGAGTTCCTGCTTGCCCCGTGTTCCCCTGCTGCGCTTCTGCCTTTGAAAAGTAGCAAGAGCCCCACAGGCAGCTCTTACTACATTTAAGAACAGAGGTGCAGCTGGGATAGCAAGCGCCCCATCTCCCCCTCATTGACTAATCAAGTAGTTGATGGAAATTCCATCATCTACTTGATTAGACAAGTAATGAAAATTTTACATCCCTAGTGTGAACAATGTGCTGTTGGTAGAAGCACTCTCCTGTCACAACAGGAAACCTGATTGTAGGGGGTGGAAACATTTTGTTGGCAAAAGTGCCAACAAACAGCATTTACACTGCCCAACTTTTAGCAACACAGCCATTTCGCTAAAAGCTGTGCAGTGTAGCCTATGGGCACATCTACACATCTGGGAAGATCAACACTCCGGAGGTCGATGCTCTGGAGTTTGACTTAGTGGGTCTGATAAGGACTCACTAAATCAAAGGCTGAGGGCATCCTGTTGACCCTGGAACTCGTTGTAGTCACAGTTGCAAGAACTAAGGAAAATTGATGGGAGAGTTCCTCCTGTCAACCTCTCACTGTGGGAGTGGCCCAGAAAACTCTCAAAACTGGAACTGAGGGTCTTGCATTGATTTTCTCCACCAGTGTAGACCTGGCCAAAGCCTTAGGCTAAAGCATGCCTCACTAAACAACTAACTAAAGAGGTATATCTGTGTGGAGAGAATTTGCCTTTTTTTTAAAAAGGCAATTTAAAAGGTCATAAAAAGATGTTCAAATTGGCTAGAACAGTGGTTTTCAACCTGTGGTCCACAGATCCCTTCTGTCTGCACATTACTTCAAAGGAGTCCACGAAGAACTATTGTGACCACAGAGCTGTGGTTTTCAACCTGTGATCTGCAGACTGGTGAGGGTCTGCAGATTATGCCTAAGATTTCCAAAGGGGTCTGCACATCCATTTGATATGTTTTAGGGGTCTGCAAATGAAAAATTTTGAAAGCCACTGGGCTAGAACAACAAACAAGTACATTTATTAGACAATACTTGGGATGCTTAGTGAGCTAAAGGCACCACTATAAGTAATAGAGAACAGGAGACCCAGATTGGCACTAAGGAGAGAACTGAACCATCTGTAAGTGTGGAAGTGGTGCTCTTTTCCCCCAGAGGACGACCCTCAGTGACACGATTGGGAGGGAGAACATAGTCACTGCAGAAACTCATGTAGAAGCAGAAACATCTATTAGAGGACCACTAATACCAGAAGCCATGTAAAAAGAAATGGGAAGGGCAAAAAATGAGAACCTATAGGTTCTTCATGATTCACACCTCCCTGCTGCTAAGTCTTTATACTGTACGACAGTGTTAGATAGCTGCAATGCTATAGATTTTTTTTTTTAGGGTATTTCAGATTAGCAGAATGAGAAACTATCCTAAACATTCACTAGGCCAGATGCTTGTCACTTAACTGGTGGTGACAGGTGAGCCAAAAATAAAAAAAAACAGAAAGGAGTTAAGACTCTGCCTTGTTACCTCCAATTCAGATGTTTAAAGAAAAATAATTCAGTGGGCGCATTTCACACACTCTTAACATCAGGCCACTGACTCGGTTTAAAGCTTTCTTTCCAAACCCCATTGAGGAAAGTCAAATCTACGGTTGTATGTTGAATGCTCTATCGTTTACCTTCAGAGAATCAACTAAGTCATCGACAAGAAAAAGACGTCTGAGCTCCTTTGCTGTGCCATTAATGTGGCCAAGAGCAGCATTGCTGTACTTCTGCACAAGCTCTTCAGACACAGCAACATCAGTCTCCAAGTAAGCCCTGAAAATTGGAAGAATCATTCATGAGACAGAAGCTTTACACCTGCTTGTGTTTTACTTAATTCAGTTTTCTAACCTTTCATCTGGAAGGCTAGAAAACTGACTGGAAAACTAATGAAGTGATAGCATGAGTCAAGAGTGAAGCAGGTCAATTGAGGGGGCACAGGACTGTTCGGCCGTGTTTATGCTACACACCTTTTAGTGACATGGCCATGCCAACATAGCCATGGTGCTGAAAGGTGGACAGTAAGCCACTGTTTGTGGGCACTTTTGCCAACAACTTACTTCTACCTCCCACCCTCCAGCAGTGTTCATTTTGTCAGCAGGAGAGCAGGTCTGCTGACAAAGCACTATATATGCTAGCACTTGCCATGGAGGCAAAACTTGTGTCATTTGGGAAGGAGGGATTAAACCCCTCTGAACTAAGGATGTTAAAGACTAGTCGACTATCTGATAAGCATTTGCTCATCGGATAGTAATGTCAACTAGTCAACTCCTCCCCTCCCAAAACCCCCGCTCCCCCCCCCCCCCCCCCCCCCCCCCCCCTCCACCCCCACGC